GTGTTTTGAAACTTTGAAATCAGAAGTATTTGTAGACCTTATAAAAAAGTAATCTTTTTAATAAAAAAATATTAATTTAGAAAATAAAATAAATTAATCTAACTTTATTTGAAGTTAAATATATTAAAATCTTTATAAATACATATTCTTGAAACTGCTTTTTTTGGTGATCTTGCTTTTATTATTTAAATCAGAAGTACTAGAACTTTATATTTAAATTAAATATAAATTTTCTATACTATATTCCTGTACTAATAAAGACTTACTTGGTATTAAAGCCCAGATGTGATCTATCTAAGCAGCCAATTTGCTTCATATTGGATTTTCAACTTATTGAGGATTTAGTTCCTTCGATCCTTAGCTAGAAGCTACCAATCTTGTCAGATATCATCATTTTTTTTTGTAATATTGGTCTAGGAGGATCAATTTGGTTTTATGCAATAACTGATTAGATTTTGATTATTTTCTTTTACTACATTGAGGATGCATTTTTCTTTTTCTTTAAGGGCTTTTCTTCATTTTCTTTTTCTGTAGTTTTGTTTTCTTTGTCATCTGAATCTTGTGTTGGTTTTTTTTCTAAATTATTTCTTTTCCTTTTTTTGCTTCTGTGGTGATTCCATTTTTTTCTCTTAATCATTATTAATTCATATCTAAAGTTTTATACGCAGGTTCAGAATCTTTTATCAAATTTCTTTTTAATCATGTCTAGCACTTTTTGTCTTATATTTCTATCCTCTATCTTCTTTTCGATTTTTGCTTTCTTTTTTTTAATTATAAGGCTTCTTATCAAGTATCTTTTTGTTTCTATTTTTTTTTCTTGAAATTGTCTAAAAAAAAATTTTTAATTGCTTTCTTGTCATTAAGGTCTCTTCTTGTAGCCTTTTTTTAAAAAACTTTGAGGCTTTCATTGCTGGCTTTGTCTTCAATAATATTCTATATATTTTGATACTTATATTTGACAAAATAATTTAGATCTTCTGTCTTCTCTTTGCATACTATGCAGATATTTATTTTGTAGATCTCAGGTTTCTTTATATTTAGTTCTGTTAAGGTTGGCAGTATCTTATCTAAATATTTGATTTGGAATATCTACCTTTTGTTTTTCTCCTTACTTGTACAATTCTTTTTCTTATTCTTATTTATCTACCTTCATGTCTTTCTCTAATCTAATTCCTTCTCTTTCTCTCTGCTAATCTATCTGATATTTCTATCTAAATTTGTTTATTCTGCATTTAGAATAGCTAAAGCTAGTTTGTTTACAACTTCTCTTATCAGACTATTTATTGTAATATCTCTTCATCTAGCCAATATACATGATCTTTTTGATCAAGACCACCTTGCTGATACTATTCTCTGTTTTCTTGATTCTTTTTCACTAGCTTGTTTGCAATTTTGTTATATGTATTTTTACTATGCCCTTTGATTTTCCTTAGCTGCACCTTAAGATTTTTCATCTTTTATAGTTTTTGAGTTTATTATATGAGGCTTGCATTCTTGAGTTTGAAAGCCTCTCTTTCTTTTTCTATACTATCTTTGTTCTTGAAAGCCTAGATGAATGCGAGACCATCTGTATTTATTGTTATCTTTGTGTTTTCTGGTACTACTAGTAATGTTGTTCAGATAGCTTCAAGTTCTGCCTTTGCTAAAGATAGCTATTCTTTAAATACATAGCTGAATCTTGCTTTTTCTTCTTAATTTTTTCCTTTGTAGCTTGCAGTCACTATCCAGTCTGTATTTATTTGTACTCTTTGGGGTGCTTCTTCTTCATATAGCGACCTGTCTGTATAGAAATCAATGTTCTTTAAGTCTTGAAGTTCTTAGGCAATTGATATGAGGTCTTCTTGTCTCTTCTTTTCTTCTACTTAATTTCTAATCAGTTTTTTAGATAGTATTTCTATTTTGATCTTATTTTGTACTTCTTGATTGTATCTCGAATCCTCTTATTTTTCTTTGGTTGCTTCTTTCCAGTTTAGCATTTCTGGTTTGAGTTCAACTTTAATTTTTTTGTAGTTAAATGTTAACTGCTTGAGCCAGCCTTTTTTTAATACTCTTCTGTTGCTCTTGATTTTTTTTTGTAAAGGAGTACTATATAAGTTTTTTTATTTTTATTTCTGAAACAACCTTTATATAGACAGATTTTGTTTTGGTTACCTCTATTATTTTTTACTCTTGTCTAGTATTCAATATCAAAAGTTTTTTTTTTTGTCGTGTTTCTTTATAATTGTTTCAACTTCAAGGATGAAACTGCTTTTTAATAATATGTATTTAGAAAATAATAAGAAAAAGTATATTTATAGAGGTCATATATTTGGATCGATTTGAAGTATATATTTATAAAATATATACACTTGTAGAAGTTTTACTTTAGAACTTTAGTTTATATTACTATAAGGCTGATTAACTTATTTAAATATTTAAATTTTATTGACTAATCTTAATAGTATATAAAATATCTGAAAAAAAATTTAGAACAATCTGACAAATAATTGTTGCTAAGGCCAGACCAATTTAATTTTTTGTTTAATATAACATTAATAGCAAATAAAGTGAGGGAGAAAGGATTAAAATAATATATATATATCGATTTCATATGATTTAGTTTTTTGTAAACTCAATGCATAATCATTGAAATGTTTATTTTATCTCAACCAATAATAGATTTCTGTAATCTATATACTCCAACATGATAAAATAATCATACTTGCACTAACTATAATTATATTGCTTTGGATATCATGTTTAAGAAATAAATATTTCTATAAATATGATAAAATTACCAAATAAATGCTACAGAATAATATTTAATCATCTCTAGTCTAAAAACTTATTTTTATACTCTTGTAAACCATCAGTAGTGCAAAATTAATATATCAAAATTATCAAAAGACCGAGCAAAATATTTTAAAAATACAAATTCTTGAGAGCTTTAAATAAAAATTTAAATTATATAAGATAAATATATATAGATATCATGAAATGTAATGGATTTGAAATCAATTATATTCAATATCGATATTATTTAATCTGCTATTTTACTTATTCCTACTGTATTACTTCTTTACTAAGCAGCTACGCTCAATATAATGTAAATTTTTGATAAATTTTGAATTAAATAGCATAATCAGATCAACTTTTTATAGTTCATAGTTTTGCAATTTAAACTTATAATTATACTAGAATTTTTTTTTTTTTTTAGTATTAAGGTGACCCTTCAGTTAAGTACTTTATTATTGTTTAGATTACTTTTATAACTAGATGATCTACATCTGTCATACATATATTTCTATATATATAACCTCGATACAATACTCTTTAGTAACTACCTTAGAACAATTTTATTCTCAGGGTAAACCTGCTAAAGCCTTCCATATCTACAATCTGGCTGATCTAGGCTTCAGTTGATATGCACGGACCAAAGCCATCACTTGCGCTCTAGTTTCTTGATCGCTACTACACAACCTACTTTTGCCCTTATAGAGTTCATCCAAACCCCGGTACATACTTACAGACTATTATTAATATTCTAGCTATCTCAAACTACCAATTCAGATAGCTTGGAAGGCTGTGACCTGCTTCTGGTTCCATGGTTGGGTCCTTTTCCTCTGGTTACACTCCGGTGGCCTGGTTAGTGAAATGTCTTGCCAAGTACTTCAGTTTTGTTCAATTTTACTGGTTTTTCAAGTATCAATCTGTATATAGTACTATCGAAGATCTATGCTGCCTCTCTATTCAGGACTTCTCAAGTAAGTGCCCATCACCGTATCGGCCTTGTGGCTTTCTGCGATTCCGAAGGACTTATCTTAGATTTGCATCGACTAAACTGGCTTGCATGCCTTTGTATAACTTCTTATATTACACAAATGCCCCAAGATCTTCTAGTTTCTAGCAAACTGTAATTGGTACGACTACAGATATAGGGTTTCGAGTTTTCTCAGCTATGACGTTAATTACCGAATTCGGTTTTTCTTAAAATTCAATTTTCATTCTCTGTGGAAATTGAACCAATACTCAACCACTTGGGGGTGTGACAACTTGACCACTTCACTAAGTTGCCATACCCATCATACTAGAATTTTTTACTAACTTTCAAAGTTTTATTTAATAGTTTTATTTGTAAAGATCAAACGTCAAATAATCAAGAATAAAACAAATGAATCCTAATTTTGTATAAGAATTGAAATGAAGTTCTACAACATTATATAAGCCATCTAATCATTTATAAAAAGAATCTATTTGATCACATTCTCTTATTCTGTAGCTTTAAGTTGAAGTCTTTTAATACAATAATACATCCTTATTTTTACTTAAAGCAGTATTATTTATCACTTGATTTTTTTTTATTAGAGCCTTACCCTCCTCCCCCTTCTTACTATATATTTTGATTAGATCTTTATATATAATTTTAAATTTTTTACTCCTTCCTCTCCTAAAAAATCACCTGATTTTTGTTATGTCCTTTACCTACCATTGTAATACTTTTTATCTAATTTATAAAGATAATATTATTTACAAAATTTAGAAAACCCAATATATAAAATGTTGATATATAATGTTTAAGCAAAGTAACTTAAATATTTCAAATAATAAAAATTGTTTTATGATTATTATTTTTTGAAATATTTCGTGGCTCTATTATTAGTTTTAATTGTTACTCTTGTATAAAAATCTATTTCATTTTTTTGGCAAACTTCATATAACGGATAAATCTGTTTAAATCTTTTTTTCAAAGATTTGGGTGGAGTTATTAAATTATCACTATTTCTACAATAGTAGCAAATTAGATAATTTTTTATTTTGCGACTTGAATAGTATAATATTTTGATAGAAGAGTCACAACTAATTTATATACATACAAATACTATTTTTTTCAAATGATGATTATTAGGAAAATTAGTACACTACATGAATATAAATATGAATCCAATGCTTACTAAAAGTCACATAGCTTATCATCAGTTAAAGACTTGTTGCTATATACACAATGATGTTTTTGGCAATTTTCAATTCTGAATTTTTTCTGTGATTAAAATAGATTTTGAAATTGGTTCAGATTTTGCTTGTAATTGTATATAGGTTGGTCTATATTCTTCAGTAGTTTTAGTTCTATAAATATCTTGAAAGATTGCATAATAGTCTGTATTATCTAATTGTAAATTTATTAATATACAATTATCTAAACCAAGTAATAAACCAAATAAAATTATCTTTTGAAGGAATTAGATTTGGAAAAAAGCTCAGATTTCTAAATTCATATAATGGAAGACAAATTGGCTTACAATATAAGTAGAAACTATCATTATATTTCTTTATCTTTAAAATTAATATATAAAGATATAACGACTTCATTGTAATCAGTTATATTTAAATCTTAAAACTATCCAATATCAAATATTTACATGTCTAAAAACTATAAGCACATGTTTGGCAATAAGTATCTATGAATTTGATTAATACTAAATAGTTATATATTTGTGCTTATATAGTTTCTTTAATTTTTAAGTTTAGATCTATGCTAAAGATTGACTGGTCAAAAATTAAAAAT